AGGCCATGTAGTTCTTAACTCTCATGACCTTTGACATGTACGATGACCTTACAATGCAAGCTCTGGTGGGTGTGGAGCATGTCTGAGGAACAATAGTCTTGATGTTTTTAGTTCCTTTGTTAAGGAATGAGTGTTTAGTGGTTCAGTGACTAATACCAATGATCAGTGGTACCAGACAGGGAATCAGTAAATTCAGGATTTTAGTTCTTGCTCTGCCACCAGCTATGGGTACTTAAACTCTCTTCATTTCTGTTTCCTCATCTGTAAAATGAACTAAATGATGCCTCTTAGATCCCTTTCAACTCTAAAACTGTGACTGTGTTTTTACTGTGGATAGTAGATATATGGCTACTTTTGATTCACTTTTTTTCTCGATTAAAACTGCAAGGGCATCCTTGAAAGAGATAACAGGAAATAAGACCAAATTACAGAACTTACTGAAACAAAATCAAGATATAATAACACTAGAGTGATCACTCTTCTACTAAAAATGTTTCAATGGCTCCCTACCAAATAAAATTTATTCTCCTTAGCCTGACATTAAAGGTGCTCCACAGTCTGGTGACACCTTACCTTTACACCTTTATGATGTCCTTCCACTTTGTCCAGCCAAAATAAACAACTCACTTTTCACTAGGCATTTCATCCTTCATGCCTGCAATGCCCTCTCTCTCTCTCTCTCTCTCTCTCTCTCTCTCCATTTGTAGAAACCCTGTCCTTTAAAATCTAACTCATATGTCTCCCTACCCAATAAACTCCAGTGGCTCCTCATGGCCTCTGGGAACAAATATAAAATACCCTGTTTGGCATTCAAATCCCTTCATAATCTAACCCCTTCCTACCATTCCATACCTCATTTCCCAAAATATACTCTTAGGTCCAGTGACACTGACCTCCTGGCAGTCCCAGGAACAAGACAATCCAGCTCCCCACTCTGGAGATTTTCTCTGGCTGTTCCCCATGCCTGGAAAGTTCTCCCTACTCCACTCCACTTACTGACCTCCCTGGCATCTTTTAAGTCCCAACTAAAGTCCCTTCCTTGATTTGAAGCCTTCCCCAGCCCGTCTTGATTCGATTGCCTTCCTTCTGGTGATTACTTCCTGTTTATCCTCTATATAGCTTGCTTTGTATAAATCTGTTTGCATGTTGTCTCTCCCTTTATATCATAAGTTCCTTGAGGGTGAGGACTGCCCTTTGTCTCTTTTTGTATCCCCATTGCTTAGCACAGTGCCTGCCTAGCACACAGTAGACACTTAATTGAGTGATTGAGATGCCACCTCCTTGAAGTCTTTCCCTGATGATTCCCCAGTTGGAAGTAATCTCACATCATTCTCTTCATCCCTCTTATGCATTTACCAAATTCTGATGTTTTATAGAATTAGTGTATGTGCCCCATCTCCTCTGCTACACTGTAAGAGTCTTGAGAACAGGGGACCTGCTATATTGTCTCCTCAATGGAATAAAAGCTCCTTGAGATCATGTATTATCATGTATGTATTATATATTTCATGTATTATCATTTTATTCCCAGTGCCTAGCACAGACCCTGGCACCTGGTAGATGTATACTTTTAAATGCTTTTTGATGATTGGACTTCATTATTTCATCTGTTATATCTGCTATACCTAGCCCAAGTGCCCTGTACAAATAAAGGCAATAAACGTGACTTGAATTAAATTTGTTAAATGGTCAGTGTTTCCTGCATATTAATGACCAAAGAATGTATCACTTAAGGGCCAGCCTGCCCTCTGTACTACCTTATCAAGGCTTGGCCTCTTAAATACCAGGTAGAGTCTCTTACCAGGATAATATCTGAAGTCATTCCAGCTTGGCAGAAGCTGCCAAAGCTTTTGTGCCTCTGGCACTTCCTTCAAGAACCCAGCAGGACAAGACAGGACACACATGTACAAGCAGCTTAACATGCTGGGGAACACTGTTCTGTTTTGTAGTGAACAAGTAAATGTAATAAATTATGAGAGATGCTCTTATTTACAAATATTTTATGTGGATTGTGTTATTGTTTTTTTTAAGCATCCAAACAACATTACTGTTTATTTTTTAGCAAACAGTGAGACCCTAAATGTTTCATATGATTACCCATTAAGCTTGCGAAGCCCCTTCATATTCTCATTGAGCCTCACAACACTGTGAGGTCAGGAAGTATTATTATTCCCATTTTAAGGAGGAAGAGACTGAGTCTGAGAAAGGTTAAATGACTTGTTCAAGGTATACCCAGCCAGTAAGTGGCAGAGCCAGGTCTTGAAACCAGGTCCTAACTCCAGGTCCAGTGGACTTTCTATCCTACAGGTCTCTGAAATATATAAAAAGATCATTGGATAAGCCAATTGAAGCCTCAAGTCCTCCTCTTAATAATAACAATAATAATAATAAATTTAATCAGAACTTGAACAGTGAAACTAAAATTTCTTTAATATACTTAGCCTCTCCTTTCTATTCCTATTGTGATTAGTTTTCATAAGAATCCATTTATGAGGGATAGATTCAGTGGGGTAAAGAACTAGCCTATAGAAGATCTGAGTTTTAATCCTACCTCCAATACTTTATAGCCATGTGACCTTGGGCAAGTCCCTGAGCTTTCATTTCCTCACCTGTTAAATGAGGCCTAGATGACCTGCAAGGTCTCTTCCATTTCTAGTTTTATGATCTCATGTTTCTGTGTATTTTCTCTGAGAAGTGCTATAGAGGCAGCTAGGCCATTCAGGGGATAGAGAACAAGGCCAGGATTTAGGAAGATGCAAATCCTAATCCTGCCTCAGATACTTACTAGCTGAATGACTAAGGCAAGTCATAACCTCTGTTTGCCACAGTTTCCTTATCTGTAAAATTACTATAATAACGAGCCCTACCTCTCTGAGTTATTGTAAGGATCAAATGAAATAATAATTGTAAAGTGCTAAGCATAGTAGGTGCTATATAAATGTTAACTATTACTATTATTACATAGAGATAATAAATTATATAATTACATAATAAATTACATAATAACATACTATCATTACATAGGCCAACATTATGAAGTAGATAAGAGCTTCCAGACTCCTCACTTACCTTTATTCAACACCAGGAACCTAACAACATATATTTATACAGTTTGTTGAGATTTATAACACATTCTTCACAACAGCCATTGATGAAGATAGAACAGACATTATTATTCTCATTTTACAGATGAGAAAACACAGGCTCTGGAGAGTTCAGATGACTTACCAATAATTACATAGCTAATCATTTGTCAGGCCTGAACTCTGAGCTCCTCATTCCAAATCTCTTCAGAACATCACCCTGAACTTCTTCCTCCTTTTTAACAATGTTTTTCACGGGACTTTGACCCATCTTGTGATTCCCTGCTCTCCAGGGCCTCCAGGCACCAAACTGAAGCCTGCTTTCCCATCTTCTGCTCCCTTTCCCATGCAATCCTCTCCATTTTCACCTGTCCTTGCTAGGTAATTGGCAAAATAATCCAACTACATAATTCTACCTGGAATGTTAATGGCCAATGGATTAGTGTTTTTGGTGATTTGATAGCATTTTTATTTGAACAAGGACCTAAAGAACTGAAAAATGCAGGAATTTCAAGGACCATGGTAGGCTAATGGAAGAGGTGTTTTTGAGCATAGATGCCTTTCATTGGATACTCATTCTATCCTCATGCTGCTTTAGCTTTGGCTACAAACAAATACGCATGTCCCCTAAATCTGCTTCATTCTGTAGTGCTAGTGTATGTCACATAGGAAATAGGAAGCACTCAAAAATCTGTCAATCTCTTGGATGATTTCCCAAATATTTTTTTAATGGCTTTTGGCATTAGCTCAAAACTGTTCTGTCTCTCTCTACTACCTAGATGATTAAAGTAACTTTTAAAAAATAGTGAAATTATCTGCTGACCAAAAGACCATAGCAATGGTTTTCTGAGAAGTACTGGTATTACTTGTGAAGTGAGGAAAGGGAAAAGAAAGGGCCTAGGGCAGGAATGGCCAGTCCATGGGCCTACAGCCTCCTATCACACTTATAAACTTTATGTGCAGCCTTAAAGAGAAAAGAAAAAACACTATACAAAATGCATTGATGCTGCCATACAAAACAATAGAACATCCTTAGAAAAGCCTAAAATAATGTCATTAACCTCTCACAGATATGTGAGAGCCCTATTGATTTTCTTATCTTGAGTCTCTCACCATGCTTAAATAACTAATAAATGTTTGTTGAATTGTTTTATTCATCAATGAGATAGCTGTTAAAATGTTGAAAACAAAATAATTCCATCCCTTTGTTGAAACCGCTGATAAATTTTGACCTACTCTTCTTAGTCAAGTAAGACATTCTTGATATAAAACATTATAATTGTATTCTTGGAAAGTCCACGATTTACATCAGTCATTAATCTGAAATAATATTTGCAAAATGAGATATTTCTAAAAAACTTAGCAGAGTGAGTGGCACATAACAGGTGCTTAACAAATGCCTACTCCCTTTCTTTCTCCATCCTATTAGGAGTTCCTCAAAAAAAATCAGTAGCTAAAACATTTGTGATTGTCCACTTGTTTATCTTTGACTTCAAGCTTCAAAGCCCTTGTTTTGTCCTAAAGGTCTCCCTAGGAAATGTTCCACTTTCTTTTTGTTTTGTTTTGTTTTGTTTAGATGACGGTCTCTTTGTAATTGCTCAGTTCCCTTTCTACATCTCTTTCAGAAAAGGTACTGAGGCATAAAATAACAGGAACAAAGTCAGTTTAAAAAAAACTGGTAAATATGAGTATGTTTCACTCTCCTCTGATTTTTTTTTCTTTTAAAGTTATATCTCTGCCTTACATAAGAAAACCTTCCTTTTCACGCGATCAAAAATAATCCTAATGCTATGATGTGAAACTTACAAAATATCTTTGGCCTTCTGTGTTTTCTTAGGCTTGCCTCTCCCAACCTCAACCACTACCATCTTCTTTCTGACTTCATCTCAACCTCTTCCTTCTTTTTCTTTCCCAAAGGCAAGTATGCCATGAGAGACCTGGTCCATCGGCTTCCAGGAGGAAACAACAGCAACAGTTCAGCCAGCAAGGCCATGTCTGATGACACGGTTACTGCTATTTGCTGTACTCTGCATGAAGTGATAACTAAGAATATGGAGAATGCCAAGGCCTTACGGGATGCTGGAGGCATTGAGAAGTTGGTTGGCATCTCCAAGAGTAAGGGAGACAAGTAAGTTATCAAGTTGCTTCACACCTTTGGGATTTCTTAAAATAAATATTATTGATGTCAAATAAGTACGCCTTGTCTCAGCTACTTATGAGATGCATTATTTAGCCTAATTGTAAATCATTTGCTTAATTAACCTTGCTAGTTAAAAGAAGGGAAACAGGAAAGACTTTCATTATTCATGCCCAATAATAAAGCAAAACTGCTTAGTAATTAAGATTTGAAAAAAATAATTCATGTCTGTTTCATTAGATTCTGGCCCAAACCAAGCCATCAGAAAGATTCTAGTGGGGAAACATTAACATAATAGCTTATACAATCAGAGCTACCAAGTTGGGAGAGATCTTAGAGATCCTCAAGTCCAACCTCCTTATTTTACAGATGAAGAAAATGAGGCCAGACGGGTTAAGGGATGTTCCCAGGTTTACAAATTAAGTAAATATCTAAGGCAAGAGCTGAACCCAGGTTTTCCTGATTCTGAGTCCAGTGCCCTATTCACAATATTACAATGCTTCTCAATGAGGTAATCCTAGAAATGCCATCAATATTGAAGCAATGGCTTGTTCAGTTGTTTTGCTTGTAATAGGTTCGATCCAATCTAGTCCAATAAACATTTATTAAACATTTGCTCTGTGCCTGGTACTGTGCTATATGCTAGGGATACAAATAATAAAAGGAAAGTCACTGCTCTCGAGGAGCTAACAATCTTAAGGGGGAGACAGCACACAAAAGGAAGCAGGAAAGGGAAGGGGAGGACAGGACACCAGACAAGGCAGTAGATGCAAAGTGGAGTGAGCTGCGTCCAGTTGCTGCCTTTCATGAAGGAAGGCATTAGAAGGAATTTGGTAGCCTGCCCTCCGGCCTTCCAATCGGAGGGGAAAGTTGGCTGAGGAAGATAGTGTCAATCAGGGCATAAGTTAGCAGCATGGTGGTGAGTTTGGAAGTGATCCTGGGATGGCATCTTATTCCACAGAGATGAGATCAGGCAGGAAAGCAGATGCAAAGTGGTGAAATTAGAAACACAAAATGATGATAAGTAAGATCAGCTTTAGGGTATTAGTTTCATGTATTTTGATAATGGAATAAGCCATTGATTAAATGAACAAATATTGAAACAAATGGTTATTATTCTAACACATAAATTTCAATGTCATCTAACATCAATTAATAAGCAACTAGATGGCACAGTGCATAGAGTGCCAGGCTTGTAGCGAGGAAGACCTAAGTTCAAATCTGGCCTCAGACACTTACTGGTTGTGTGACCCTGGGCAAGGCACTTAACCCTGTTTGCCTCAGTTTCCTCATTTGTATAATGAACTGGAGAAGGAAATGGAAAGCCACTTCAGTATCTTTGCAAAGAAAAACCCCCAGATGGGGTCACAAAGAATCAGATGTGACTCAACAACAACAGTATCATAAATTAAATTGTTTTAAGAATCAACAATATTTTTTCCTGGTCAGATATCTTATTTTTCATCTCTGTGGGGGAATTGCATTTATGAAAATTTCCTCTACCTATTAGAAACTTAGCTGTAACTTATAGTCTTTGAGAGTTTTCTGGGTCACTTAGAGGTAAAGTGACTTTCCCATGCTCATGTAGCAAGGATATCTCAGAAGCAAAAGTTGGACAAAAGTCTTTCTAGCACTTTATACCACTATACCATACTGCCTCTCATTAACTCATCCGTTAATTAAAAAAAAAAGAATTAAAAGACTGAGAATGAACATTCGCCCCCAAGACTTTATCATTTAATCCAATCCTAAGCAAAAATAATAATAATTATTATTATTAAATACCTGTCCTATATAAGGGTTCAAGTCTCGCTTGTGATGCACATTGTCTGTGTTAGCTTAGGCAAGTTACCTAGCCTCTCCATGTTCTAGGCAGCTCTTCTAAGTTTCCAGGAAGGTAATGACATATTGATAGACATTTGTCACCTGTAGTTTCTCTATACCAAGGAAAGCACAGCTCTAATACCTACTTCTATCCCTTTATGTAACATACCACACTCCATGCTGAGAATAGAGAGAAAAAAAATCAAACAATCCCTATCTTCAGGGAGGTTAGAGTCTTAATTTATTATATTCTAATTAATTATCAAATTTGAGAAAACTTCCACTGACTTTATCTACAGTAAATAACTGAAAGGAGTAAGACTTTTTCCCATCAGAGGAAATAGTTCCATAATTTTCTTTCTTGCTAAAAAGTATCTTTCACATTTAGAAACACAAGGTTAATTTTCTTTCTTTCTTTTTGACTAAAGGCTCTTGAGTTCTGTGCTATGGGATTCCTTGCTGCATTATAATTGCATTTAATGTTAGTGTAAGTACTATTGTGTGAGATTTTTTTAGAATCTCTATTTAGAGACCTTGAGACCTTCAGGCATGGTCACCCATCAATCCAATATTATGATTCAATTTTTTTTCCTATTAAGTAGAGAAGCCCCATTAAGCCCTACTGTAATAACGCCACTGGGGAGATTTCTTGCTTAAGCTGTAGCCTGCAATATCACATTTGGGATGAAATGAGCTTCAGTATCAGTAGAAAAACAGTTTTCTTCTGCGAATGACATCAGAAGCACTTAAAGAGCCTCAAGCCTAACTGCTTTGAGTGCTGAGAAGTCATCTCAGTGTGTTTCTCTGCTGCTTAAGCAGGAAAATCACAGTGAAACATATGCTCGTAAAAACATGCTGACACGTCTATACATATTCATAAGCACCAAGATCAATATGCTTTCAGTGAGAGGTGTTGGGACAGCCTGGAAGCTCACTTGCCTCTTTAGAGCTTAGATGCCTATGCTTAGCCTACATTCTAATGCAACAATCTCAGAATAATAACCAGAAAGCCTGAAAGAAGAGATCCACTTGCCTTTGAAGTTATCTCAACAACAAAATAAAATTATCTGGAGAAGTTAATCAAGATTATAGAACAGCATGGGGGCAATATTAAGAGCATGAGATTTAAAGTCATCAGTCTCAGTTTGAATACTTCCTGTTTGAACTTGGAGGGTGGGGGAGGAACTCTACCTCCCTGGTCTTCAGTTTCCTCACCAGTAATTTAAGAGGTTTGAGTTATACTGACCGTTAAGGTCACCACTTCTAATTCCAAATGTTATTATTAATAGAACTGTCTTTTCATATTAACAATCCAAGAAACTCTTCTCTGACTCAATTTTTTTCTTTTTTGGTGAGGTAGTCAGGGTTAAGTAACTTGCTCAAGGTCACACAGCTAGTAAATGTCAAGTCTCTGAGACCAGATTTGAACTCAGGTCCTCCTGACTCCAGGGCCAGAGTTCTATCCACTGCACCAACTAGCTGCCCCCTCAAATCTTAAATGATAATGTGAAAGCCCTGTCTCCTTCTGATAGCCAGACATTTTGGCTGGGTCAGATGCTTTATTCAAGATTTGTTATCCAATAATAGGAGTTCAGTAGCATTGGTGAAAATAGTCTATGTTTAGGGTGTATAGCAAGTGGAGAACTGAGCCTTATCAAGCGCCACACAATACAGTTCAGTTCCGTGCTACAATTCAACATGGCTGTAGAGCACTATGCTAGAGAAGATCCAGAATTTAAATACGACTTGCTCTTTGTCCCTGTGAGGCTTATAATCTAAAGGAGGCATATGACACATACACAAAGATAACTAATGCAAAGTAATACTCTAGCATTTTTTAAATCCTTCATAGTCTTGCTTCATTTTCTTTTCAAACTGAATCCAGAATTCTCTCCCTCATTCACTTCCCAACCAAATTGACCTATTTGCCCTTCTTCATATGTGGCATGCCATTTCCCCTCTCCATGCCTTTGCATAGACTGTACCACATGCCTAGAATGCTCTCCCTTGTCACGACTGCCTCTAGAAACCCCTACCTCCCTTAAAGGTCCCACTTGAGCCACCTCTTACAAAATGCCTGTCCAGATTATCCCAGTTCTACTCCCTCTGTCCCCTGGAAATGACACTGTATATAGTTTTATATCTGCTTATACATGTATATATTCTTCTTCCCCCAGGAGGGGGAGGCTATAATTCTCTTGAAAATAGGAACTGTTTTTATCTTTGCATCCCCTAGCATAGTACTTGACACATATTAGGTGATTAATAAATACTTTTAAAATTGAATCAAATACATGCTAAGTGGATTAGAAAGCTTTAAGCATTATGCTCTGTGAAATTTAAATGGGCCAAGATCAGGAAAAAGAGGATCAGGAAAGACTTCATAGAAGAGCTAGTATTCTCACTAATTAGCCAACCTCATCAGTTCTTCAGTTCATATTGCCTTTTTTTTTTCTTGATTGAAAACAAATATTTATACCCCCAATATAATTCATGATAACTTCTTTATCTCTCATGGTCCTTCAATACTAATCAGATGGTTAATTCTCTTCACTGGTCCGAAAAATCTGAACCAGAAAAGTTACCCTGTGTTTCTTTAACAGAACATCATACCCAATTGCATTGTGACTGCAGATGACAGTGTTTCCACATATCCTTTTAGCATACATTTTTGTATGATAAGAATTCTTTATTGAAAATGGAATTTTAGAATCAAGTATAGCTTGAAAATTGAGTTCAACCTTGTAAATTTATAAAATGCTTATAAATCTACCCCCCTAAATTTGTTCTTGGAAAATTATTACCTGTAATAGAATTAATTCTATTTTGATTCTTCCTTTAAAAAATTGCAGGGCAATCATTTATAAAAGTGTGTCAGAGTCTTCCATTTCCCATATATTGTAGTAAGATTATTATTATTCATTTTGTAATTCCATTAGGTTTCTGTTTATTGTTTCATTTACAAATATATAAGAAGACCCAAAATGTTAGCACTGAAAAATAAAGGCTTTATCTACACTATCACCAGCTGGGTCTAATGATTATCATTGATTAGGTCCTCGCAGGCCACCATAACTTTTGAAGACAAATGATAGAGACAAATATTGAGTGGATCCTTGCTTCTGACAGAGGTGCCTAAACCAGCCACAAAACATGGAAGCTACTAGTTTTTTTCCAATCAAATTAGTTAGGCTGCTTTCATCCAAGTCATCTACCCATCGTGTCAGCTCTGGCCATTAGCAACCATCTTACAGTCACTATTTTGAGGTCTTCATAACTTTATTTATGGTATTCATTTCACGTTGTTTTAAAAACTCATCATTGACATTCTGTCTTGTCCATCTGTTTCATAAATTCATTCGTATTTGCACTTTTAACTGTCCCATAGGAAATAAATGTTGACTGTATGACTGCAACTTGCCATTAGGCAGAAATGCTATTCACAGTCTCATGATTATTGTCAGAAAAGAGTCGTGGATTGGAACTTCTATTATAATCACTTGTCATATTAGAAAGAATCAATATGAAGTAGTTGAAATACTTCAAAGAGAAGTTGCTATAGCATCAGTCAAGTGTTTCAAAAATAAAGCCTTGCAAGAAAGCAAAGACATTTTAACTTTCAAAAGTTGTGATAATACTGTGATTTGTTGGCATTTAAATGGACAGGCTTCAGTTTATTAGTCATTGCCTATTCACAGTCTCTTCCATTTTGTCATTGTCCAGAGAAGAAAGTACACTGAAAAGAGGATTTTTTCCCCATACTAAATTTATTCCCGTTCTAGTTTTTGCTACTTAAATATTTCTACAGATGTAGCTGTAGTGATTTCCTATTTTTAGGGACAAACAGGTAGGTAAAATATGCAAATAACTATAAATGTCTATGTTTGTTAATTATACAAATAATAAAATGTTCATAATCAACAAAGAAACATTAAGTGAAATTATTTATACCAGCAAAAAGATGAGAAGTTATTCTTAAATCATGGTAATCCAATATTACATGTAAAGCACGATACCCAATGTAATAACTTTCTATGCCATTAACCAGCATTTTCAGTGAAAGGCAATGTATAAATTAAATCACTATAATAGAATATCCATTCTTTCATGGAAATATTTTGAGAACTCATGAGAACTAAAATATATATGTTGGTATGTGGCAGGCAGGCAAACAATAAGCATTTATTAAATGCTTACTAAGTGTCAGGTACTGTGCTAAGCACTAGGAATAAAAATACAAGCAAAAAGAAAAGAAAAGAAAGATTGTCCCTGCCCTTAAGGAGTTTATAACCTAATAAAGAAAGACAACACACAAAAGGAAGCTGAAAAGCAGAGGAAGGGAGAAGGAGAAATGGTAGGAAGGGATGGTGGTGATGTCTAGAAAAACAGAAGCAGTGCTAAGCAGTGAATGAAGGATGGTCATTCTGGGCCCATCCATAAAATGGAGACCCCAGAAGAAATTCTCCAGTATGAGGAGTGAAAGGATATTCCAGAGTGAGAAGGCCCTGGGTGGTAAGGAAATTCTAGAGTGAGAAGGCACCAGGCATAATGGAATAGTCCAGAGAGTCAAAATCAGAGAATACAAATACAAATATATGACTATGTCAATGTGCATACACATACGTACATATGTATATCTATGCACATATACATATATTTGTACATGTGTATATACATAAATGTTTTGGTATTGGAAAGAATGCTGTATTTTGAATCTAAGTATATGGGTTCAAATCTTGGCTCTGTTCATTTACTGCTACTATGACTTTAGGCAAATCCCTTAATTTCTTGATCTCACTTTCCTTAACTATAAAAATCCAAGATGGGAAGGAGATGCCACTTAATAAATGTTTATTGATTGATTGATTGGTACAATTTGGTCTGGGTGACTTACTTCAAAGGTATCCATCTCCAAATCCATAATTCTATGATCTGCTACTCCGAGGATCCATGATTTTATCAGTGTAATTACTTCCTCCGCTAATATAGATAAAACATCTAAGACTGGGTAGATAGCCTTCCAGAACTGATGTGGCCAATAAATAAATAAATGACACCCTGAAATCAAACTGATGATGAGTCTCACCTGGGCTGGTTCTTGGTGACAGGTGCACAGACTATAATGGAGCCTATGCTCAAGCCTGCCCAGCTTGGTAGACTCTGCCAGTCTTCACTTTGTTAGCATAGATTTATCAAGGAGGGGTGATCCTTCAATTGGTATGTATCATTAATGATCTGCATTGGCAGAGTCTCTGCAGGGGGGAGTTTCCTAACCATATCTGTGTGTGCATGTATACATATAAACACACATGTATGCATACCCAGAATTTCTTTTAAATGTGCTCGCTATATAATCCCGGCAGATTTCTAAGCATACCAAACTTGAATTGTTTTATTAACATAACAGGTAAAATTGTTATTAATAGGTGCCACCCACACACCCACCCACACTAGTTAAGCTTGTAGAGGGCTTATTTCCAAAATCTGCTCCAAGCCCAAGCCTGATCCCTCAGTGTGAGAGACATAGGATGTGTTTCCATGTACTCATGTCTCTGGTATGACACTGACAGGAGGAGCCCTACAAATCTTCAGTGATAACCTCCAGTGTTGTTCTCCAAACCCAAGGAGACAAAAATGAACATGCTTTTCTTCTTATACATGTGACCAACACCACTGCCAATAAATGCCCATTTTGTCTCTTCAGGTGGACTCATTTCTGTAGACTTCTGTTCCACTGATGATTAAATTTCTACCGTATTTCTGTATTTATTGTATTTCTACTGTATTCTACTGCATTTTCTTTATATTTTCAACAACAACAAAAAGGAAAAATCCTTCCTTCCCACTTACAAATAGATCTCCTTGGTCAGGCCTTTCCAATAGTGAGACTTGATGTTTTTCGGTGAAGAATACCACAACCTGTTCAGTTGTTCTTAAGATAGACTGGTACAGTAGGAAACAGGGAACACCTGAGTTTGAGTCTTGGGCCATGCTACATAAGAGTGCTGGGACCCTTACCAAAGTCACTTTCCATTTGAACTTCAGTTTCTTCATCTTTAAAACAAGCATGATAATGCATTATAGTGAGATTGCTCACATAAAACATACTTTGTAAACCTTAAACCAAGGTGAAAATAGAAACAGAAAAATTGCAGATGTTTTTAAAATTTCATGACAAATCCATTTGAGTTGTGCCCTGGGTACAAGACTCACTGTCTTTCTTCGCTTTCTCCTTTCTGCATCAGACATTCTCCAAAAGTGGTAAAGGCAGCATCTCAGGTCCTAAACAGCATGTGGCAGTACAGGGATCTGAGGAGTCTCTACAAAAAGGTAAGGTTTCTTTGATTCTCTAGGTTGCTGAAGTACATATTGGCATCAAGACAAATAGGAGGATGGTTAGGTATACGGTGGCTGGCACCTGATGACTAGAAGGCATCCAGCCACTTTGTCCGAAATGTAGCCGAGTGTCTGGAGAAAAGGGAGCCAAAAGAAAAGTCCAGGAATTGGAGTTCATGAGCTTTATTCATAAGAGCCTTCAGCCCTCTGTCAGTCAATAAATCCACAGGGATTTATTAAGTGGCAAACGCTGCAGCACTGGGATGTAATTGGTCTTACTTTTACATACTTTTCTAAAAAGCTTGATTATCTGATTTCTCAGGACATAGTAGATTAGAAGTGGCAAAATATATTGGAAATTGGGGTAAGGGAGGGAGTGGGGAGGAGTGGCTGTGAGTAGCCATACTGACAACTGAAGAGCATTTTTTTTTCATTCAACCAGGAGTCAGTAAAACTGCAGGGATTGTTTCCATTTTTGTCTTTTTATCCCTAGCACCTGGCACAGTACCTGGCACATAGCCACTTAATGAATGCTTATTGATCGATTGAATTGGATTTGAATCCCAAATTCAGTACTTACTAACTTTGTAACCATAGGCTAGTCACATGACCTCCCTGACCCTCAGTTTCTTCATCTGTAAAATTGGGATGATACTTACACTACCTACTTCACAAGACTGTTAAGGGAAAAACACTTTGTAATCTCTAAAATACTATGTAAATGTGAGTTACTGTTATTTGGGAAAGACAGGAGGAAACTAAGACAATTTGTAAAGAGATAAGAATTTAAGAAGAAGAGGATTTTCTGACTATTTTAGCATAAGTTTAAACTATTACACCTCAGTAATCTTTCAGGACATCACTGTATTAGAACATAATTGGTGTTCATAATGATGACCCCAAGCATCACAAAAAAAAAGAAGGTTAAATTGTGCCCTTCATGTTCAGTTTAAGAAGGCAGAAATGTGGAATACACTTTAAAAAGGCTTTCATCCAAAATGGTTAGAATAAAAATTTTGGCACTTCAAGATTAAAGTTTAGCCATTTTGAACCATTCATGTTGAAAACTCTTTCCCCAAAAATACCAGTTCAAAGAAGTCTAATTGTCTTATAACTATTTTTTTTAAATACATCAACAGTGTCCACTTTAAAATGTTTTGAAGAGATTGTCAAATAATTCTGATGGCAAATACTTAGCAATCATAAGTAAAGTTGAGCTCTCAAAAGTAAATATATAAAATCATTTATGTGATGATGGGTTGATGTACTGATCAGTCGTATAGCAGGACATTTTCCATCTGGATACAGAGGGTGTTAATGGAGGAATGTCATGTATCTCCATCAGTATCTGCCACTACCATACATGTCCCTACACATGTGCCACAACCATTGTAATCTCTACTGTCCTCAGTATGAAGAATAGCAAAAATCACCATCACTGGTTAGGCCTTGATGCATTATAGGAGCCTAACTGTGCAATGGGAAATGGGATTGAGCAGGAGGCTAAGGGCCTAGGAAATGATACCCGTTTTGCTGAAGGGAAAATCTCTCCTATTCTAGGCCAATAGGAATGAGAAAATTTAATGAGTTGCTTTAGCAAGTTATCCAATCTGCTTTTAAATTTCCCCAAGGTTTCTTATTATTTTCCTTAAGACATTCAAATAGTTCTCAAAATTTAACCTATATATTTCTTTTTCTTAAGATTATCTCTTTAACCCTACAAGAAGAAATTGGTTTAAATTGAAACAGGATGGATTTAAATTAAATGTTTAGGAGAGCATTCTAGAGCATTAAATGTGAGAATAAACTACTGAGCTTGTAAAAATCTCTTCCCTCAATATTTGAAGTTTAGCCTAGGTCCGCCATTTATTGAAGTAATTTGGATGTAGTCATACCAAAAGACAAGGAAAGACTTCTCTTGCATGTTCCTTGGAATCAGGTCTCTGCATTTCATTCTTTTGTCACTCTTTTAACACACATTTAATGCGCATCTGATATGTTAGATTCTATAGAACAGAGGTGCCAAACATACAGTACGTGAACTACATGGACCCCACCACTCTAAGTGCAGCCTAAACCACATTACAATGTAATTGAGAAATATTTAACAAAAAATTTTAAAATACAATAAAACATAAATAATATTATATTTTAAAACTAAATCAATATGTGGCCCACAGGGATCCTTATATATGATTTAGTGGCCCCTGTTTATGTTTGAGTTTGACTCCATTGCTGTGGAAGATAGAAAGATGGGTCTTAGCTTTTATGCTTGAAGAATCAGTATGGTACAGTATAATCAGCAGTGAACTGGCCATAGAGTCAGAGAATCAAGATCCAGATCCCACTTCTCTTGTTTCTTATGAACTCAGGCAATTCATTTTATCTCTGGAGCCTTGGTTTCTTCAATTGTAAAATGAGTGGGTTGGACTAGTTAATTGTCAATAAACATTTATTAAGCATTTACTAATGCCAGGCATTGTGTTAAGTGCTGGGAATAGATATACAAAGGAAAAGAAAGACAATCCCAACCCTAAGGAGCTTACAATCTAATGGGGGAAGACAGCCCATAAAAGGAAGCTGAAAAGTGAGAGGGGGAGGAGTGTGATGGAGAAGTCCAAAAGCAGTATAGCTAGTGGAAAATGACTGCACTGGACCCACTCCTTAAAGGGAGGCCCTGGAGCCCATGGTCCTACTCTCTAGTCATAGGGTCTAATCAAAGGGACAAGAGTACTAATGAGATGTGAGTGCCAGGTAAAACTGATTCAATCTTGCAGGATAATGAGATTTCCCAATGATGAGTTTCCTGGGGCAGGAAAGCATGATGAAGAAGTTCAAAAGCAGTGTAGCTGGTGGGAAATGGGAGGGACCAGATGACATCTGAGGTTGTTTTTCTCTCTCTTCTAGAGATGGAGGTCTCTGAGTCTGTTTCCCCTCAGACTGTAAACTTATTTTCAACTTGAACTCTTAAAATTCCCCTCCTCTCAACTTCTAGATATCAAATGAAATCTCTAATAGTTGTCTTTGTATAGCACTTAATACAGTACTACATTTAACTAAAGTCTTCAAAAGTACCTTTTAATGATGATGATGATGATGATGGCAGACCATGAATATAAAAATAGGCCTCAAGTTCCCATAGTACCTATGAGACCTCTTTAGCCCTGCAATTGTTTTAACTGCTATAGATGGATCTGAGTTATTTTTAACCTTCTGCCTAAATATTCAATTGTATAGATTATAGAGGAGAAAGAAGGGGGCAAGCATTTTTTAAGTGCCTATTAGGTCTTAGACAATGTGCAAAGAGTTTTGTTTTGTTTTTTAAATAAATATCTCATTTGATCCTCACAACAACCCAATTAATATCCCCTTTTACAGAAGAGGAAACTGAGGCAGAAAGCAGTTAAGTGACTTGCCCACAGGGTCACATGGCTAATAAGCATATGAGGCCATATTTCAACTTCCTGACTACAGGCCCAACATTCAAGCACCATCTAGATTACAGATAGGGATTTTATAAGCTATCCACAGAGTTTCATATTTTTACCTAAATACCTGATTTCTTTCATCTCTTCCCTTATATCATAACCCTTTTAGCTTGCTGAGCTTTCCTTCACAACATCTTGACCAATAGAGTTTTATGTTTCTCATAATGATGATGTACCAAACAAGAACAGTGTCATCTTTACTAGAGTAAAGTAGAGTCTATTCCTGGGTGGGTATGAGCTGGGTATGCGTTTAATGTAATTTCTACTTGTGAGTAGCTCAAAAGTAAACCAGATTAGTTTGTTTCCGGGATAAATAAATACATAGGTCTTCTTTTTAAAAACAAGACATACACGATAATTCAGAAGAGAGGAAACGAGATGAAAATATCAGTAGCTAAGAAGGAATGGAAAAATTGGATTACTACAAATGAAATGAGGAGAAAATAGAGAGAAATAAGCAGTTTATACCTTATTTGCTATCTGGTGTCACTCAATAAGTTCTGTAAATTTTTTTCCGTGAATTCCGAAGTTAATATACCTAGAAAAAAATGACATATGCAAAGAAACTCTGGCACTTTGTGTGTTAAAAAGCTATATATGAATTATTGCCTCAGTAATACTTTCCTAAATTTTTCAAAGCTTATTTTTTCAGTGGTGAAATGTATATAATAAATATAACAGATAAGTTAAAAGGGAATGAAATCTCGAAAAAGTTGCTTTTTCATCTTGTTACCACAAAGGTAGCCTCAAGGCTATACTTCCTTTGAAATGAGCATAATCCTCAACTAGGATTCATTTTAGGAGAAATCTGATTTTTTTTTAGAAATTCATACCCCTCTAATTATTCAATGAAATAGAAAATAGGCAAAAGTGAATGACATTAAAATAAGTAAATTTATTAAGGGTTAGTTGAGATCAGAAAATACAAAAGTCTTTCTTTGGAAATTACATTTAAATGTGTTTTCATCAAAATTTAGCATACAATAAGTAAATATTTCCCATCAACATACTGTACATTGAAGCCTCATTATAAAGCTATGCTAAAGATTGGTGTTATAGAATGCCTTATTGGTGAGCAATCCTCATAATCAAGCTTTTTTAGTAGTTCTATAATTAAGCCTGTTTTGATGGTGGCCTAAGACAGCTTCAGCTTACACTGAATTTACCCTAAAAAGTAATAGTGTTGCAGTGAGATGCCAGTGTAACAACACTTCCTGTCTCTGTGTCACCAAATGTTGGTGGATGGTTGTAGTTTCTATTTGTTATTTCCATAGGATTCATATATTTGTTGAGCATATGCTTTGAGCAAGGAACTGTGATCTGTGTGTTTATAAATAATGCATGTAGGGATTCTTTCAAAGCTGAAGTCTTGTGGGTATTTCTGAGTACAAATGGAGATCATGAGAGGGATAGTCTAGAATGTTAAGATGTCCTGCCATTCTTTAACCTTGATTATAGTTAAAATCTAAGAGGAAATACAATTTTAACAGAAAAAATAAAGCAGGA